GTCGATATGTAATATGATATGTTAATTAATTCGTTGAAAATGTCTTATGAAAAATTGACTTTGTAAAAACACGTAAAACATGTCTACATTAAATATCAAAAGCATCTAAAATCTTATATGATATGTGTAAAAATATGTATATTATTATATAACATTGGTAAATTATCTAATCTTATTCTTAAACAATGTGTGAAATCACCTAAATTTTTCAAAACAATTATTAAGAAAACATATCTAAAAAATAATTAAATATTATCCCACATATCTAAATCATATAGTTTTATATAAGTAAACGAGTTTGAATAAACTCGAAAAGTTTGAAAAAAATGAATGAAGAAAATTGTATCAAGCAATACAGGTGACGCCCGTGAGTCTTGAGGAAAGACTCAATACAAATTAGAATATACAGTTAAGTTTACTCAATTAAACACACGCATATATAGAAAAACATAAAAAAATCACCTAAGTCCAATTAAAATTTTCAATGAGGAATATAATGGTGTCTTTCAAAATCCAAACGAAATGTGAGTATTAAATTATGACGCCAGCAAAATTGCATTCAATTGAGTATTCCAGAAGATGGTCTAAAATAATAATTACCGCCCATAATAGGCGAGAGTGTTTTAAAACGCGTATAGCGGAACGGGTTGCGTTTTGGTCTTTGTACCAGTAATTTGGAGGCCCTGGATAAATTTTTACAAGTAGCCCGTAATCGTATTTCTATAATTTAAAATTTTCAATTGAACAAATAATATTAAACATTGGCAAAAATAAATACGAAAATACAATGAATAATATGAGAAATAAAAGTACTACAATAACAAAAGCTTACAGCCTTCTCGTGCTCTTTTGTGCAAAAATTTTCGATCAAGTCACTATAATCATGTTTCAAAACTATTTTGTTTTCTGCATTCGGCTAAGATCGTTTGTAGAGTTTATCATTGAAACTTCTATCTTTATCGTTAATATGATACATGACATTAGTAACTCTAGTCACCATTTCTCGACTAAAAAAGTTTGGGGCATATTATCCTCCAAATATCTAGAATCGAATAAGTCATCCAAATTTTCACAATTAGTATCTAGGTTATCATTCATATTCTCGTTATCATTTGCATTTTCCAACTTATTATTTTCTTCTTAAAAAACTTCAACCCCATTATCATCTAAATAATTTTGATATGTCAAATCTCGATCAATTTCAACTAGGGGTATATCAAGTACTTCCTCCACAATAGGTTCATACACTTCAACTTCTACTAAGTTTTACATACATATCCATACATCAGGAGAGAGACTTTGTTAGTATCTCTTGTTTATCTTCTTTTCCTTTTCAAACATCCTTATAAATCGAGTTTGCGTTTGCACGTCATAACTTATATAAGAAATTTAATCATAAAAAAATATATTAATAAGTTTAATCACAATAATAATTAACAAAAATTATAAATTAAAAGAAGAATAAATATTTAAAATATAATTAGTAAAAAAAATTTGAATTAAAAGCTTAAAATTTTTATATGTAATACGCTAAATTAGAAATAATACGCTCTAAGTGATTTGAATTAAGAAATTAATATGTTCCTTAATGTATTTTATTTTTCTCTTGATGAAACTTAAAGGCGAGAAGAGGAGTTGCAATTATTTTAATCTCTAACTCTTAATTAGCGAATAATTTTGTAGATGGGGCATGCCCAAACAAATATATACAATTTTTTTTTTTTAAAAAAAAAAAAATGTAAGGCCTCCCAAAATGGAGGTCCTAGGCAGCTGCCGTTGTTGCTTGTCCCAAGAGTCGGCTCTGTGTGTAGCGTAATTAGCTTTGCGTGTTGCGTAAACTATTGAGTATAAAAAATTACTTTTATTGAAATATATAAATATATATATATATATATGCATATGAGAAAACTGAATGGTAATTCCCAAAATTATTATAATATTTGAATAAATTTAAAAATAACATTTCAGAATTATTTCTCTCAAATGTTTTACTGTAAATATCTTAACATGAATAATATGTTAAAAAATAAAACAAACAACTAAAATATAATAAAATAAGTAATAGTTTAACTTTAAGTATGTATATTTTAATTTATTTTTTAATATAACTAAATCTTTATTCTATCTAAATTTTTTATTGTTTAACATAAATGTTAAATACCAAAAAATAAAATTATGTAATAAAAATAGACCAATTTTTCATAATGATTTTAAAATTTTAATTTGAAATCATCATCAAAATTTGTAGTGTTTAGTTGTCATTTGAATATGACTCTAATCCCTAAAAAATAGATGTCTTTGAATATTTTATTGTTTAAATGTTGTTGCAAAAATATAGTGCAATATAGCGCAAAATAGCGAAAATAGAGTAAAAAAGCGTGTCATTTCAACATTTCGCGTAAGTTTTTTAGATAAACACTAAATATATAAAGCTATGTCGCGTTTTTTGAAAAAAAAAAAACACTATAGCGTGCTATAACGAGCTATTTAAAACAATGTAATAAATCTAATTTAAGGATATTTCCGAGTCTAAATATTTTGCTTTATAAGTATATAAATGTTTATCAAAATTAAATTGTAAAGCTCATATCTTTGCATTTGTTGCATCCAAAATCTACGAGTCTCTTACTTAAACTCAATGGATTTTGCATTAATATATAAAAGGGGATTGTGAAGGATCAAAATTGGGGTGTTATACGAGCTGAATTGAGTCGAGCTAAGTACTTTGTATTAAACGAGTCAGCTCGGGTCATCAAATAAATTAAAAATTATAAACGAGCTATTCACGATTTGTTTATTCGCTTGCATACTAGCATATTCAGTTAGTTTTGTTTGTAGGAAGTATATATTGAAAAAAAATAAATGTTTGCAATACACTTGACCCGTTTAATAAACACGCTCATTTAACTTCAAGCTCGATTCATTTAAATAAACAAACGAGTCGACCTCAAGCTTTAGCGGATCCAATACAACCAGTGACGGACCTAGATTCAATTTTTTTAAAATAATCATTATATATATACAAATAATAATAATACTATAAAATATAAACAAAAATGTAAAAACATGTAGAATATATAAATAATTAAAACTAAATTTCAATGCTAATTTAATTTAAAGTAATAATATTAGTTATTTATTGAAAAATATACTAACAATCTTTATATTTTACATTTCTGGATAAATTTTTGAAATATATAATAATTTACTCTTTCGGACTCTTAATTGTAAACCAATTTAATTATTTATCAAATCTAGAATTTAGTTGGATTGTTTTAGATTTTTTATTGTCGATCGATTGTATATTTGAATGTTAATTTTTTATTTGACTTTTTATGTAATCACATGTTTTCAACCTTATTTAATTTTTTTATTAATAAAATGGCTATTTGATAAGTTTTCATCAACAGAAAATGTTATGCAACGTGTTGCAAAAGTTCAATGTAAATATTGAATAAAAAAAACTTATTTTTTTTCCATAAATTATAGATATTAACTTAAATTATAAAAACACGAAGTCTCTTTTTTTTCTTAAAAAAATTTGAGAGTGATACGAGTTCTAAGTTTTTAAAAAAAACTTGATACCAAGGAACCAGATAACTGAATAAGCGGACAGATAATTTAATTAATATTGAATAAGCAGACAGATAATTTAATTAATATCTATTCTTTTTTTTTTTTTCAAACAGCAAGACTTATATACATAGAAAACTAAAAAAAGTACAAACCAGATATCAACTGATACCAAGAAACCAGATAACTGTACCTACCTTCTTGAAATTCCAGGGAAATCCAAGAGTTATAACTCCATCAAGGAGGCAATTACTAAAACAAAGCGAAACTCCATAAAAGAGATAAAACCAAACAATCCGGACTAACACACGAAACACAAATAAAAACGCACACCTAATATACAAATAAACAAATAACTAAAACCTCCCTTACACCTAACAGACCCAACGCCCGGCCACCCGAGACCGCACACGAGCCACTTCCAATAGCATAGAAATCCAACAAATACGAACCAGAACCTCAAGCCCGAAAACTGCAGTCACTCGTGCCGCCTAGACGGATCTGATGAGGAGTCTGCTTTCGATTCAGATCTGGCCGCCGAAAAAATCATCCACGCCGAGGAAGGAAGAGAGCCGCCCGAAAAGCCACCAATGACCCATGCCGGAGGGCTCTCAAAAGGGGTCCAAAAGCGCGCCGAGCCACACCCTTGAACACAAAAGCAGAGGAGCACGAACCCACTCTCGCCGACGGCCAACAAACTCGGGAGGCTAGGGGCCCGCCGCTGATGACCAGCGACCCGACCTTGGCCGGGGAAGATAACGAGCAGCGAGCCAGATCACACTCCCACAAGACCTCGGAATAAAGTTAACTTTAGCAATTCGCCGTACACTATACCATTGTGTGTGCCATTATTCGTCTACATATGATCTATCAATTTTTCCTCATACAATCAAGTAGATATTTTACTCATATACTTCCGACTGAGTAATAACATCATAAGAAAATAGTTATTCTCCACCAGACAAACCAAAAAAAAAAAAAAAAAAAAAAAAAAAAAA